AAAGTCATACCCACCACTGAAAATCCCAAATAGGAAAACAAAACAATGGAATAGAGCTACTATTTTAAAATACAATTAAGAAAATGTTTGTGAAATGAAATAAATCTAGAATCAATATTGAAAGGGCAAACTGTATACTAGGGGAAATTGACCCAGGACATTCACTGATACAAACCATAGATAAATTATAGTGCTATAAAAAAAAATATTCCTTGGGGCAACCAGTCAGAAGGATCAAATCACTCATTAGAAATTCCTGAGGGCATCAGACTTGTAGGGATTGCTCAACCTTCTATGCCAGAAGGCAAAGCAGCAACACTTAGAAAACATTTAAGGACAAAAGTGTGAACTACAAATTCAAATCCAGCCAAGTATAACATAGAAAGGGTATAGACCAAAAGTATCAAATATTTAAGAACTCAGGATGTTGTTCATGTTGGCCCTTCTTTTCACCTCAAGTTTTTAACTTAAAAAAAAAATGTCATATATAAAAATATAGAGAATATAAGGAACCTTCACAAACCCCATGCCCAGCTATAACAATTATCATCTCAGTTCCCAGATACCATATATTTTCCTCTGTAAATATTTTATCTTGAGGAAACTTCTAGAATACTAGCCAACCTAGAGACAGCAGAAAATATTTCAGCAAAAGCAATAGCAGAGAGCTTTTAGTATCTTTAACTGCAGATCGAAGAGGAAACTAAGGTGTGGCTAAGAATTGTGGAAAGGAATGTAAATGCTACATGTTTTCACAAAGTATTCTCATTCTCATTTGAGATAACTAACCACAGGAGGATAAGGGGAGGGAAGGTGGAAATAGAAACATCTTCTTGTTTCATCTTTAATTTTATGAGAGTTGAAGCTGATAAATCAAATGGAAGATGAGCAGAGCAGGGAGGAAAAGTATACCATTCAGAGATTTATTTAAGGAAAAGACCACTATCCACTAATGCAGTTGTTTATAAAGGGAACCCAAATATAATATAGTGACTCTGTGTTTGCTAGTCAGGAAACTGGGATGTGGAGAATTAGGAATTTTGGGGGTAATTGTTAATGAAAAAAAATTGATTTTGGGATATTTAACTAATACCCAACAGATGTGGTGGCCTCAGGCCTTTCCTTCCCAGCCAGGGTGGACTCAAATTGCTTCATAAATCTCAGTGGAGAAGGTCCTATCATGTTGTATAAGCCCTCAAGGGTTCACTGGGAGCCTTGCCTACTGTGTCCCAGGCTTGGGGCAAAAGACAAGTCTGACCTGGGGCTCACTTTATGAGAAGAGACACACAGAAACAGGTATTTACACAGTGTTATGGGAGCTCCGGAGCTCTGGTGGTGTAGTGCCTAAAGTATTTGACTGCTAACCAGAAGGCTGGTGGTTCAAACCCACGAGCAACTCCTCAGAAGGAAGGTTGGGCAATCTACTTCCGTAGTGATAACTGATTCATAATGATACTGATTCAGAAACCCAAGGAGGGGTCTCTATGAGTTAGATTTGACTCAATGACAGCAGTAGGTTTGTTTTTTGGTTTATGGGAGCTCCAAGTCTGCAGGGGTTGGGGAATGGGAACCTAAAGATGTGAAAATTCACTGTTATCCAGGAGGAGAACAAAGGACAACCATTCATTCATTCATTTAAAACTAGTTGCTGTGGAGTTATTTCCTGTTCATGTTACCCCGTGTGTCACAATCGAACTATGCTCCATAAGGTTTCCAATGGCTGATTTTTCAGAAGTGGATTGCCAGGTCTTTCTTCTGAAGTACCTCTTAGTGGACTCCAACTTTTTCATTAGCAGTCTTGACCATTTGCATTCCTCAGGGACTCCATTCATTTGTTCTTGTTGTTATGTGCCGTCGAGTGGGACCCGACTCATAGAGACCCCTCCTTGGGTTTCCAAGGTGGTATCACTACAGAAGTAGATTGCCCAACCTTCCTTCTGAGGAGTGGCTGGTGGGTTTGAACC